CTACTGGTATCTAACATGTGGGTTGGGTTACCAGAGCAACTTGTATTTTAGACCCCCTAAAGCAAAGTCTCCCTAAGAAGTCTCTGTTGTTAATATTAACTTGCATTCAGATGGCAACTTTCAAGTAAAAATGAACATCTCAAAACGCTTTGCAAAATATAATTGATCAGAAACAAAGTCAACGTTCACCCAAATAGCAATCTACTGTACAATCTATCCACTTCAGACCCACGGGCCACAGGTTGGCTACCACTGGGATATACTGTAAAGTGTAGTGACTGTATTTTGTGAACAAAGATGGCAGCCAATTTATGCACAGTAAAGTCCCACAAACCATATGAAGTGAGTGACCAATTTTATTTGGGGAATTGTTGGCCAGGTCACTGGAAGAGAGAAACTCCCTTCTATTTTCAGATAGAATCTTTAACATCATCCTCAATAGACAGATAGGACCTCGGTTTAACATCTCATCCAAAGTACATCACCTCCAACAATGCAAAACATCCCCAGCACTGCATTGGATTGTCATCCCAGACTGTGTGAGCTAAAGTTCAATATTTTGGGGATAAATTTGGAATAAGGAGGGGAATATAAACCAAGATGAAAAGGGAGGAAAACTTCATATTCCTTTGAAACAGCAAAGGCAAAGCAGCCCTGTACGTTCACCCGAGTCAGATATTAACAGACTCGATGGGCTGAATGGCCTCCTTCTGTGCCGTAACATTCTATGAATTTTTTTAAAAAAAAACAGTATCAGATAATGAGACAATTGTCTAAGAATAAATAAAACTGTTTATAATGTAAAATTGTTATTTAGAGGAGGATCTGGCAGCTACTCTGTGCCAACGATGTCCCGTGATCGAAGGGTGACATTCGAAAATGCAAGAGAAAAAGCAAAGGAATAGAGAGAGGAAACAAACAAAAAGAATGAATAACAGATAAAAGGAAAATGAAAACCATTGAGGCAGTGTCACGGCAGCACCAATATGAACATGTGGAGACAGCTCCTCCGTTCTACCATTGGCATCTATGCCCTGAAACTCAATCCCTCTGCCTTGCCCCCTCCTTCTCCATTTTCAGATCACACCCAAAAATCTTCCTCTTCGATCATGCCTACAGTCACCTCCCTCTCTCCCCGGTTTGGCGTCAGGTTCAGCTACTGTTGAGCTCTCTGAGACCCTACCCTGTGTGAAGGGCGCTGTATAAATAAAAGTTGTTGTTGTGGTAGCTTGTCATTTGTTTCTTCATCTCCATGCTCTTGCTTGTCCTCCCTCTGTTCAAATCAAGATTCATCCAGACTCTACTCTGATTTAAAACCTTCCTTTTCAGGACCTTAAGAATCCTAGCTCCCTGAGACACTACCCCATGTGTAGAGTACAGTATAAATGCAAGTTATTGTTGTGGATGGACTCCTTCCTTCCCTCAGACTTCCCTTCCTGCTACAGTTTACAAGAGTCAAAGCCAAACTTTGCCATTACCTTGATAATAATTATAATCCTCACATTTGATACAGCGCCTTATCACGTCTTTCAGACGTCTCACAACACTTCAAGGAATATACTGTGAAGTGAACTGACTCTATATTTCGTGGGTGGAATACGGCAGCCAATTGTCCACAGCAATAATAAGGTGATGTCTCAACCAGGTAGTTACAAAGCTCATGTTTTCAAATTGCTGTGGTTGGCAGAAGTAAGCTCTTCTACAGCTTGATCTCCTTGGAGCCGAGCTGGTTCTGAAACCTGGCAACAGAATGTTGGAAGCAAGTCAAGTCTCTGTGGCAGTCTCTAATCCTATTTATGAGCCAGGCGGGTCGGTGTTAATCAAGAGCACTTGCTGATGACAGTCAAGCAGCCTTTCTCTTTTCAAATAGTACCATGGAATTTTTAACAGTTGCTGAGTTCAGGCAAGATCTCAATTAATAAGGGTGCCACTAATAAAATAAATATTTGGGAATCCTGAAGGTGCTGCTGAACGGGCACCGACAGGAGCTCAGTTTAAGGTTTCATGAAAAAGGCAGTACCTCCCATCAGTACAGCGCTCCCCCAGCATTGGATTGGAGTGTTAGCCTAGACTGTGAATTCAAAGTCCCTGAAGGGGGTTTGAACCCATAACCTTCTAACCTAGAAGGGAGTGTGCTACCCACTGAGCCAGGCTGGCACAATGTTGTACATAGTTCTGAAATCTGGAGATCAGTCTGGAAATGGTGGTGACTGATTGGCAAACATTAGTACTCGAGTAATGGACATCGCAGGGGACATATGTAAACTCAGGGTCATTGCCAGAAGCACAAAAGGACATCTTTGTACACAAAGAGGTATTAGAATGTGGAGCATATCACAAGTTGAAGTCATGACAATTAGATTTAAAAGGAAAGAATGATCCTCATGAGAAAACAATAACAAAATTGGATTACAGCAGCTCCCTCACGAAGAGCAATAGTGCAGGCAGTGGTGGACAGTCCACCTTTTGAGACAATTTTGAGGCTGAGGTTATCCTCCTTGGCTCCCACGAGAGCCTCCACACTTCAGGCACTGAATGCATCAACCCCCACAGATGCTCACTCAAGTCCATGAAAGCTGTGAGGAAGCTCACTGTTTTGTTCTGACCAAGTCTGTTATTCTCCAATTCTGCAACATTGCTATTTCCTCAAGTTGACTCCGAACACAGCTAAAAACATCACCACACGCACCTCCACTCCGGCCAGCTCCATGTTTGCTGGAAACCCCAGATCTGCTCTGCCCAAGCTCCAGATAATTCAGAACTCCACAGCCCACATTCCCTCCTGCAAGAGGCTCCTCCACCCTTGCCCAGGTCCACCAAATCCCTATACCCCAGCAGACCAACTAAAGTTCTCACTTTCACCTTCAAATACCTCCACGGCCTCGCCTCATTTTGTGATCTCTTTCTCTCCAATCTTTGTCTGCTGCTCTCAGGGACTCTTAAAACAATCCCCTCCCCATTCCGGCTTTCACAAAGAGCCATGAAGTGAATAACCAGCTTTATTTGGTTCGGGATTCTTGACCAGGATACTCAGAGAAACTGTCTTCTCAGTTAAACATCTCAACTGAATATGGCACCTCCGACAAAGCAGTACTCCCCCAAAACTGCATCGGAGTGTCAGCCTAGACTATGAGTTAATAATAGAATCTAACACATGTCAAGATGTTGGCAAAAAGCAGCCTGGTTCAGTGGGTAGTGCTCTCTTCTCGGGGTCAGAAGGTTATGGGTTCAAGCCCCACATCAAGCTCACACTACAGGCTGACACTGCAAAGCAGTGCTGGGAGGGCATTGAATTATCGGAGGCGCTGTCCTTCGGTTGAGATATTTAGGTGAACGTTAAAGATCCCGTAACAACAAAAAAAAATTGCATTTAATTTAGATAGAGCCCTTCACGTGGGGCAACTTCTCAGAACGCTTAATCAAGTAAATATTTAAAAAAAGGAAAATGTTTCTCCTGGTGTCCCGGCCATTAATCCTCCGGATAAATCAGTCAGTCACTTCATGGCCATTTAGCTGCCATCTTCACCTACAGAGACTACACTCAACAGCAAATCCTTGTGAAGAGCTTCAAGACGTTATGGGCGCTGTATCAAACACAGTGCATTTTATTAATAGATCCTCATTAAAAAAAACTAAAAAAGAAAGCAGACAGAAGATTGCACTGTGCAGAATCAGAAAAATACACATAAAGGTGCAAGGAAAGAAAAAACAGCAGATATCACCATAGGGATGGTCAAGTGCGTACAGTAAGGACTCAGACCATAGAGTCAGACCTCACTTGATTATTTAATATTGAAGTTAATTTTTCAACTGGAATAATAATGCCTCAAATAAAGAATGGAACATCTAAACTGCAGGAGGACCTATTGCGATTGTGGTCTTAAGTTTATAAAAAGAACCTTGTTCTGTTCACTTTCATTTTTACAAGTTAGACCTGATGTCAAATTTGACCCTTACACAAGAACTGGTGAGACCATTCCCACCACAACCCCCTCCGGTCCACGTCAATGATGGCAATAAACTTTTGCTCCATCTACTGTTCAATGTAGGTTCCTGCAGTAAACCTTGCCTAAGACAACATGAACATCGCATCACCTCCTGGTTTTAATGCTTGGCTGTTTCTTTTGGTAACCGAAAACAGACTTTATTTGTCCTCCGCAAATTTAAGAACTGAAGGTTTCTGCCTAGAGCCCACATCAAACACTTACAGATAAGGTGCAGCATGGGTTACATGAAGAATAAACCTCGGCACTGCACCAAAAATGTGCCTTTTCCTGTACCGGTGTCATATTCCCACATCCCAGTTATCCTCCTGGCATCTTGGATCAAGACTGAATTTAATACCAGTGAGTGAGCAGGCTTGTGCCAACTGGTACCTGGGTTAAAGCTGCCCCCCAGAGTGTCGCATTAGCATTGGCACGCACCATAGAGAAGAACAACTACCTTCCCCATCAGTCTGGAAGCTGATGGAACCTGGCTTACTGCTGGTTACTTAATGTGGAGCAGCTGGGAGATTTTTGTTCACGCACTTGTCTGATTCCAGATTCAAATCTAAGTTCACGTCCCCAAAAGGTTCATGAGCCAGGGTGGAAAACCTAAAGCGATTTGTCACATTATACTTTCACTTATACAACTTACATATATAATCAATATAAATCTAACATTGCCGCAATATACAATGTCACAGTAGTATATAGAATAAGAATAATAATCCTTGGATTTGATATAGTGCCTTCCACATCAGTATATGTCGCTGTGATATGTACGTCAGCAATATACATTGTAGCAACACATTGCTTCGATATGTATAATTATAAATACAAACATTCATATGGAGTGTTTTTGAAGATTTCACCTTCACTTCGAAACTGCAATTGTTCATACAAATATCAGTAGATCAACAAAGCCCCGTCTCTCTGCCACTACAATACACTGCAGTAGCCAATGCCATTCAGAACAATGAGAATAACAGAGAGAGAGATGAAAGTTATGCCACTCACTTCGTCTTTGCCTCCTTCCCTTCGCGACGCTACTGCCAGTGTAATCCATAGAGTTTAAAATGATCACCACCAAAAATAGTCCAAACTGCATAGTAATAACTGCAAAGCTCTGTCTCTGCTCAGGGTGAAGGTTGATGCTGATGAAGGTAGATCGAGTCCGAAGTAATAATACAGATGTTTGTTTTTTATAGCAACTCACACAGGCAAGTCTGGACACGCAGGACTCTGTCCACATACATAAGCCGCAATTGGTACAAGAGGAAGCATGTTTCCAGGTATAATTCCATTGAGATCAGGACTCCGTGCTGTAAGGTTCATCAAAATCCATTCAGATATTGGCTACATGAAGTGCATCCTCTGGATATTGCTGCTAAACAGCTGGAAGACATAAGAGAAATGATCACTTACAGTCCATACCCTGCCCTTATGAGTACAAACAGCATTTAGAATAAAAGTTCCCAGGATGAGGGGCTGGAATTACCATTAAAGCCAGCCTTCTCAACTGCTGGATAGTAAAAATCGAGAATGAAAGTTTCTTCCCTATTTGGAGAAGTTACATTTACGAATTTTTTGGGTCGAAATTCGTGAAACTTATTGATGGGAGTAACACGAGCACGAAGTGCACTGGAGCAAGGTGAATCCAGATCCAATTTGTTCCCAAGATTCTCATAAATCGGGATCAGAACCGACAAGTTGTGGGGGTGGGGGGGGGGGGGGGGGGCGGCGCTGAAATCAAAGGGAAAAGAGAGCAGGTCATTCACCCAGTCGCAGGTCATCAATTTTTACCCACATTTGTATTTCTTTATCTGTGTAATGCAGTTCATTTTCAATTTGCTGAGGATGGGGTGGGGGGGGAAGAGGTAGTGAGATACCGGCAACAGGTTAAACAACCGAGCTCCAGCGGTTTCTCTCTCCAGGATCGGACTCCGTGTGGAATTGAAACCACACAGGCAGCGAAGCAGACGTAAAAAAACAGGATACACCAGAAAACAGAATAAATTTAGTTTGTCCCCTTTTTAATGTCGTTCGTCCGTCCATCCGTCTGCTAAAACTGAAATGAAAACGTCTGGAAGCCGATCGTTCTATTTCAAACAGTCGCCCTTTCAAAACAGTTCCAAATCGACTGAAACCGATTAATAGCAAATCTCACTGAGCGAGCGGCCATGCAGACATTAAACACAATCCCATGGCTCCTGTCGTTCCCTCCCGTGGTTCATAGTCACTGTTTACAATGAGCTCCGAGAGAAGTTTAAACCTCAAGAAGAGAGTAGTAAAGTCAGGGACATGAAGAGACTGAAATGAGGAGAAGGCTTCACTTCCCAGTTTAACTGGGTCGGACTTTGAATGGATCAGCGTCATGTATAACGGGCAGCATTTTAAGCATTCTACAATCTATTCCCGATGGTTTGAAAATCTAAGTTAGTGTATTTGAAGTTATCAATCTCTTCCAATTGCCACCGGTTTATTGCGGCCCCTTCCACTCACCCCCGCCGACTGATAAAATTTTCTACATCAGCCAGAGCAGGGCTAAATAGTCCCATTCTAAACCACCACATCTTGCTTGTTCATTCGCTTGCCTTTCTATTCCATCTATTACTTCACATCATCACAGCGGATTATTGCAATTGACTTATAGATTTCTTTCCCTTTCGATTCAATTAAAACACTTGCGTTTACATTCTCTTACCGTCCTGCCTTCCCATCGCCAACATTTAACCTGCAGCCAAGGAAGATTAGGGTCCAGACTCAGTTGCAGACACCATTAATACTCTGCTCGGGTTGACCGCTGGGAGGTGTGTTTTGAGGAGGGGAGGGGAAGAAATGGGGTTGGTCCTGCCAATCTCCGCACGCACCCCACTTCTCCCACCCCTTACACGCGCACACACACATACACACAACTCAACACAGAGGGCTCTGCTAACTCGCAGGGCATCACAGCGGCTAACTCAAGATTTGATGAACTGAATGCAGCTGGAAGGCTTTCAATACCATAAAAAGTGCAACAAATATCACTGGCAATATCAGTATACCCTGATGGATTGTGCATTCTTAATAGATTTTCAGAATAACAATGAGAACACTCCATCAACTCTCTGGGTCTCCTGGCTTCCTAACCTATGTATGAATACCCATGGCAGAAACAGGCAGATAGAGTGACAAGTGTGTGGAGCAAGTATTGGATTTATTTAAAGACAAGGGGCTCTTGCACTCCCGGTCACAAAGTGCCGCCAGCGCTCATGGTGAGCTCAAGAGAGTGCAAGTGAAAGACAACATAACCATCAGCTGATGAATTCCATTCCGCGCCGGGTTTAGGGTTGTTTTAAGATTATTTATTCCACGGGTTGAGTTAACGCCAAACAAGAAACGTCTCACGAGATACAACCCAAGGATTTAAGGATTTAACTAGGATCCATTTTTAAGGAAAATTCAGCTTTAGATTTATTTTTGACCCAAAGTGGTTGGATCTCCAGTGAGAATTAAACGCTGGAAACAGCATTTTAAAAAAAAACAAGGATCGTGCTCAGAAATCCAATGGGAAGTGAGATTTTTATATATAGAGGGTCAGAGAGAAAAAAGGGAGCAAAGCAGAAATGCCAAAGGGTTTAATCTCCATCTGTGGCAAACCTGGATTTCACACCTCACATGTCTGTCTCACAGCTGTGAGCCATGAAGTCTCCCAAAGGGCAGTGGATCTTTTCACACAATGAGAAATAGAGTGAAATAAAAGAGAAACAGAGAGAGAGAGCAAATCCGATATGAATTTGGGTTCCTCACGTTCACCTCTCAGCACTGACTGACATTGGAGAGATGTTGGGGCTACAACACCCACAGCACCAGGACACAGCCTCACATCACAGAGCCACAGAGAAAACAGCTGCAAAGAGAGTGACTTTAACATAATACCCCTCCACCTCAATAATAGATTAAAGTCGTTGCCCAATTACTTTTTTTTAAAAAAAAACTTGAAATTAAGCACTTTGCGACCAGACAGAACCGTCTCTTGTGACTTAACTTCAGGTCCTGCGGCTGAGACGAACTGAACAGCGAATAGACACAATCGGTCCTGTTCGGGGCCACTTTTATTTCATATAAATGATAATAATAATCAATAATAATAATGTATTAATAAATACGACACCGAGATGGCTGTGCAATTAAAATAAACGGGGAAGGGAGGAAAAGGACGGTGTGCAAACTGTGGGACGAGGTTAGGGCTGCGGTTGGGGTTGGCAGCTGAGCCCTGGAGCTCTCTCTCTCTCTCTCACACTCTCTCCATCCCTCTCTCTGTGCTTCAGGGAGTTTGGGGTGTAAACAGCGTTGTGTGCAAACCGCTTTGCTCTCACTGACCCTCACTGACACCAAACGCTGTTTCCAATCTGCAGTCAGAGACCGCTTTCAGCTGAACATGGGGAGAGGGGGGGGGGGGGGGGGGGGGGGAGACAGGGGGGGAGACAGGGGGAGAGGGGGAGACAGAGAGAGAAAGGGAGGGGGGGGGAGACAGAGAGAGGGGGAGACAGAGAGAGGGGAGGGGGGGAGAGAGTGGGGAGAGGGGGAGAGAGAGGAAGAGGGGGAGACAGAGGGAGAGGGGGAGAGAGGGACAGGGAGGGGGGGGGAGACAGAGAGAGAGGGGGAGAGAGAAGGGGGAGGGAGAGGGGGAGACAGAGAGAGAAAGAGAGAGAGAGACAGAGAGGGAGAGAGACAGACAGACAGAGGGGGAGAGTACACAATATCAAAAGCAGAGCCTTACCTGAGTCTCAGGTCCCACACCATCAGTGCGCGGTTTATTTATTAAAGTGAAATCAAATGGTTGGGACGACTTTTCCCCCTTTTTGTTGTGTTGTGTTGTGTTTGTACGTTGCTGTTCAGTTGCGAAACTTTCTCTTGGGTGTTTTTTGGGCAAAAACACACACACACTCTCTCACACACACACACAGCACTGCTCTTTTTAATATGTCCCCCTCCCCCCCCCCCCCCCCCCCGCCCCCCCTGTGCTGTCAGGTGGTGCTGAGCCCCGGTCTCCCCGGTGTGTGGGGCAGTGCCACCGCAGCTCTGTCCGTGACAAAAGCTATTGGGGGTTATACAGAATGTGTCGCTCAGCTGTTCCCGAGCGCTGTACCGGAGCTCAGTGCCGCCGAGTGACGGCAGAGCTGCCCCGCGAGGGATGGGCAGCACTTCGGGGCTCCAGATGGGACTTCTCTCCAAAAATACTGCCTTCTGTCCACTGCACATCAGACAATGAGGCTTCTGTCAGTGTGTGTGTGTGTGTGTGTGCAATACACGGGTTTGTGCTCCGATCGCCCCCAAAGGGTTTCTGCCTCTGAACTCACACATTGAATAAACACCCAAACCCCAAACCCACAGAGAGAGTCTCCACACACACTGGTCACACCTCCTCATCCCAATCAGGTGGCCAGAGAGAAAGCCTGGACTGGATCAGCAGGCACAGCGCCCCGCACCGCACCGCCCCGCACCGCTCCGGACCGGCCGGACTGCCCTGTGACACCACAGGAATTGGCCACCCTCCTTCCCGTGAGACGGGACACCGAGGTGCCGTCTGCCTGTTCAGGTGGACCTCGAAGATGCCGCGGCGCTGTTCAGAAAGAGGAGGGAGGTTCTCCCTCCCAACACCCTGGCCAACACCCTGGCCAACACCCTGGCCAACACCCTGGCCAACAATCCCACCAAATAAAAAAGTCGGCCACTCAATCCACAACTGTTTGTGGGACACCGCTGTGCGCAACTGGCTGTTGCGTTTTGCTCATAAAAATACACAGTCACTACAATTTACAGTATATCATTTGCGACATTTCGACAATGATCAAATGCAAAGATTATTATTATTATTCCTTTTCTACTCTTTTGAATAACTACTTTTTTATTGTGTGTAAAATAAAACCTAACCAGCTCAGTAAGCAATGAATTAACATTGGAGCCTCAGGCTAAGTGCAAGTGGTTAATAATATATAATAATAATAACCCTTACATTTGATATAGCACCTTATCACGTCTTCAAGACGTCTCAAAGCACTTCGCAGAATATACTGTAAAGTGAAATGACTGTATATTTTGTGGGCAAAATGTGATAGCCAATTGTGCACAGCAACGTCCCACAAGCAACAGCAACAAGATTACATTTGTATAGCGTCTTTCACGTCGGGAGGACATCCCAAATTTCTGTAGTCGTGGATTGAGTCACCAATGTTTTTCAAGGGTTTATTACCCCAGAAGTTATTACAATCTGCCAATCGACTAACAACCAGGTTCCTATTTACTGCTAGGTAAAAAGAGGTGTGTGGAGTAAGGAAACTTGGACAACGTTTCGTCCTGCCCAGGACTCAAACCCAGATCCTCTCGCTTGTAAGGCGAGTACTCTAACC